ACATAAGTCAAACAGCATACGGAAGACTTAAAAATCTCTGTTTTGCCCATTAGTTCCATAAGTACTTTGTAGGAAATAAACACATACCCTAACCTAGTAACACTGTCATAGCTCATCAAACCAGCTTCAGAAATCAACAGTTACAAAAGCCATTTCCAGAAAGAAAGCATTGCGGTTCCAGATTGGTCAATGAGTCACTTTCAGCCTGAAGGCATTCTGAGTGGCACCACAGTGAGGGGACTTACCCACCATCTGTGTACCTGTGCTTCCTTCCACCTTGCCACCTAGTGGGACACAGGGCAGGGCCTTGGGTTCCTCAAAACACCAGAACAACACAACTCCTTCCTTGCATATTTGGTCAGTGTTTGTAGAGCAAGTGAAACTGCTCCTCTTTCTTCTTTTTAAGTCATAGTAGTCTGGGGGCAGAGACACCAAGAGGAGCAGAGGTAGAAAGGAAGGGCAGAGAGGGGGAAGGAACGACGCTGGGTGACCTCGGAACACCTGCAGCCTGCAGGGCCCTCTGTCACCCCCATGGGAATGTGTCATGGGGCAGCCCGAAGCGGCGTTTTGTTGGGGGTCAGTCTGCTGAGGTCCTCCTCCACATGGGACTCCTGGGTCTGGTTATCCCTAAAGATCAGGATCTCAGACTCAGACTCTTCTTGGGACATGGCCCTCCCATAGTGGACCTTGCTCCCATTGCTGGTTGGCGCCCCTTTCTTGTAGCTTAGCTTTCTTGTCTTCCCCTTTCTCATGAGGAAAGTGTCCACTGCCCAAAACATCAAAGCGTTGACAAAGTTACATGGGTCAATGGTGGGAAGGGGATGATCAACATGAGGATGGCCAGTTCAAGACTGGGTTTTCAATGGGATTCAACAGGGCCACCATTTTCCACTGAAGTATTAGGAGGACGATGAAGACAACAGATTTTTCAAAAATCAAGATCACAATGTAAAGAGCGCACTGCCGGATCCAGGCTCCACACTGCAGAGGGTCTCCATGTTCCCCAAAGAGCAGGGACTCCCAAGGCGCGGAAGCCACGGAGAGGAGCGGCCTGCCCGTGGTGGCTCCAGGAGGAAGCTGTGAGGCACAGTGAGCAAGGGTCCTCAGCGAGATCTGCTAGGTATACCTTTGCAAAGCGGGTGAACAGCGTTCCTATGGCTTGTTTGAAAGTGTCTAAAACGCAAATCCTCCATGGACGTCTTTCTTGCTTTGGTTCTCTGAAGCTTTTGAGCATGAACGTGCTGAAGGCCACGACGCCGAGCAGCCCCTGCGAGAAGATGCCCAGACTGTGCACGATCACCTCCCAGACGTGACTGTGGAGGGCGGCCCGCCTGGCAGTCCAAGGCTTGAGTTCACGGGTCCAGCCCGGCCCTGCATGGCCTGCCTGTCGGGAGGGGCGAGGGGCCTGCCAAACTCGCAGCTGGGAGCCCGAGCCAGAGCTCCAGTCTGCACCTCAGCCAGGTAGCCGACTGTGCGGCTGCGCATAACCCAGAATATGAATTTTCAAGTAGGAATTGGGATGAGTGAGAAAAAGGCCAATCAGGAAAGGGGCAAGGTTGGCTTGGTGGGGCTAAAGTGGTGGAGAAACGCAGCCGTCTGCAGAAGAGGACCTGAGCTGGGAGGCTCCTCTGCAATTCCCAGACCACGCAGGCAGGACCACCCTGCCCTGCATCCTCTCTCCCGAGGCTGAATGCAGCTCTTGTGCCTTCAGTGCCAAGGAAGCCGCAGTCCCAGACCAGAGGAAGGACTGGGGTGGACAGTGGAAAAGGAGGGGGTGGATGCAGAAGAGAACGCCTGGAAGCGATGACTTCCGGAGGATAAATGAAAAATGTTACTTGAAAATAGGATAAAAAAGAAGGATATGAAGAACAAGGTGGAAATCATCTGAAATTCCATACACAGTGTTTAATGTTAAGGTTTTGGTACAATCAAATGTAATTTTTATAAGATTATGATTATACACCTCACCACTATTTTAAATGACTAGAGTTTATTTTTAAAATATTTATTTATTTTTGAGACAGAGTCTCACTCTGTCACCAAGGCTGGAGTGCAGTTATGTGATCTCGGCTCACTGCAACCTCTGCCTCCCAAGTTCAAGCAATTCTCCTGCCTCAGTCTCCCAAGTAGCTGGGACTACAGGCGCAAGCTTCTATGCCCAGCTAATTTTTGTACTTTTAATAGAGACAGGGTTTCACCATGTTGGCCAGGATGGTCTCAATCTCTTGACCTGATGATCTGCCCACCTCGGCCTCGGAAAGCGCTGGGATTACAAGCCTAAGCCATGGCTCCTGGCCTAGAGCAGGGTTAGAATTCATAGTGCTGGGTTCTCTCTCACTCTTGTCAGTTAAACCCATTTTTTTTTTTTTTTGGTCTCGTCATTTTATTTTCTTTATTCATTTTAATTTCAACTCTTACTATAGATTAAAGAGTACACATGCAGGTTTGTTACATGGGTCAATTGTGGGAGCTGCCTCAGGGTCCGGACTCGAACCCCATGGGTCCATGGGCCTGACTTTTTAAAAATCCTTCTCATGAGGAGCCTCTGCTCTTTGCTTTCCACCTAAATCTCTGGAACCCAAGTCACTTGCTGTGGGAAGGCAGCTCTGCACTCCCTCCTTTTGAATTAGGCGTACCAGGGTCTCCCAGCCCCCTCCTCCCAGGATTAAGGAGGAGATTCCATTCACTGGAGAAGAGCAGAGGAACTGGGTGTAACCCCAGGAAGGAGAGGCTTCCAAGGACTGTGACGACCCAGGGGAAAATGCTGGAGGTAATTCCCAGGGAAGATGCCTGGGTAGCAGCCATCGAGGCAGAGGCTGACTGAAGAGGCTGTCTAGGAGTAGGAGGCCAGATCTCTGGGAACCCCCTGGGAATACAGCTTGGTCTTGGGACAATGCACCTACCATCCTGCCTCCTGCACACTCCAGATCCTGGCCCTGCCTGGAGCAGAGCTGACTCAGACAGGGGTGCTGAGCTGCTGCTGGAGTTCCAAGGTCATTGCTAAGCTGGACCAGGAATGGATGGGGCAGGGCAGGGACAGTCCCATTCAGAACTGTGGGTGCCGCTCCCAGGGTGAGGAGAGGCTGAGAGAGAAGAGGAGGGAGGAGGTTCCTGAATGGCTGGGGGCAGAGTGGGACTCAGAGGCTCTGTCCAGCCCTCACCCTAGGCTAAGCCCTCCCCAGCTGCCAGGGGCCACTGGGCCCCTTACTTCTCTCTGGCTTCTGCCACCACTTCCCAGATGCCCTCATGATGATTAAGACGAGGATGCATTTGGGGCTTCCCTTTGAGGATGGCCACAGGGACCATCCATGTACTGAGCAGAGGTGTGGGTACAGCCATGGCATCGGGTGTGGTTGGCCAGAGACGGTTGTGCAAAGTGAGCCCCACACATGCATAGACTCCTCCCTCGCCTCCTACTCCCAAGGGAAAAACAATTGATCACATTCTGATTGAGCAACAGTAGGCCACTAGGGCTTTCTTTCCTCAAAAGCTGTAAACAAATCTACATATTCTCAAAGACCTCATGCTTCTAGCAGAGAGGCAAAGAAATGCGTGAGCAATTATCACACAGGGAGATCTGGATGCACTCACTGTGGATCCAGGTCTCAGGGAGCAGGAGGGTGCTCTTTCTTGTGGGAAGTTGAGGGACAGACATGGGAGGGGGTACTTTTGCCCTGCTTTGAAGGATGGCTGGCCCTTGCCCAGGGGGAACAGGCCAAAAGCAAGCACTGGCAGTTGGGAGCCATGGGGCACTTTCACTTGAACCTGCTCTGCTGAGCCCCCTGGGCCATCCCCAGATCTGGTGGGGGTTGGGGTGGAAGGTGGCGCTGTTCTAAGGGGAGCTCAGGGCCAATCTCTCTGATGTGCTTTCTAAATCTGCAAAGTGTCTCTCCGGTTGTAATTTTAGAGACAAGGTACTAGTGCTGTACTCAATGAGCAGAGTCTTTTTGCCAGTCGCATTGGACAGATCCAAGCAAGACATACATTTTTAAGGATAATTTTTTAAAGCTGTTTAATTTTTATAAAAACGTAGAACATAACATTTACCATCTTAACCAATTTTTAGTGAAAAATATGTAGTTTGAAGCCCCCGAGAGCCTGGTGCTTCTGGAAGGAAATCTAGCCCGGGGCCAGGCGCAGTGGCTCACCCCCGTCATTTCAGCACTTTGGGAGGCCCAGGCGGGCTGATCACTTGAGCCCTGGAGTCCGAAACCAGCCTGGGAAACATGGTGAAATCCCGTCGCCACTAAAATATGAAAATTAGCCGGGCTTGGGGGCGCACACCTGTGGTCCCAACTACTCCGGAGGCTGAAGCAGGAGAATCCCTTGAATTCAGGAGGCTGAGGTTGCAGTGAACCCAGATCACACCGCTGCACTCCAGCCTGGGCAGGTCACCAAGAAAAACAAACTAACAAACCAACCTACCCGGGCTATAACCACGCCCACTCGGGATTTGGGCAGCTGCCGCGGGGATGGCACAGGGCCTGGGGCTGCGCATTGGGCGGGGAGGCGGTCACTCCGCAGCGCAAGGGAGAGAGAAGGCAGGTGTCGCTGGTCCAGGCCAGGACAGGGAGACTCCGTCGCCGCTGAACACCGCTGTGCATTTTGTTCACCTTTCTGTGCATTAGTATTCATATTGGGTTAATAAACATTGAAAAAAAAAATACTGTGGTCACTACACAAGGCGGTCTTGGAAAAAAAAAAAATAGTGTCGTCAATACATAAGGCTGTCCTGGAAGCATTTCCGGCGCTGGCAGGCAGGCAAAACGTCCAGCACCAGCCGGGGCAGGAGGCGAGGCTTTCCTTGCTGTTGCTATGGAGTTGACTGGGTGGGGTCCTGTGGGGATTGGCTGGGCGCATCCCTAAGGCGCGGGCAGAACACCTGCCGGAGTGGCTGGAGTTTCGAAAGTCCTTCCCCGGCAATACAGCCAGCCTTCCAGCCGCCATGCGATCGCTCCGCTGGGCTCCGCGTCTTCTGTCACTTCGGATTCAGATCCGAAATGTTGGGATCCGCCAGCCCCGCGTTTCTTCGTTGGTTCCCGCTTTTCCTCCTGCTGTGTTGCCTGTCCGGGCCTGGGAGGGCAGGTGAGTTCGGATGTGGAGCCTAAGCCAGGCGGGGACCAACCCTGGGGGGCTGCGAACTGCAGCAGGTTTCAGAGGAGGGGAGGCTTCTGGAAGGCAGAGCGCGATCTCCGCCGCCGCTCAGTTCGCTCAGCGGCTCCTTCCCGCCGGGTCCGCTCCCCGCTACGTCTCCCAACCCCCAGGGCGAGGAGCGGGGCGCAGTGGAGGCGGGAAAGGACCCTCAGGAGGGTGGAGGCACCAGAGGGCTGCAGAGGGCGAGGTGGGGCGGGGATGCCTAGTGTGTAGGGCACGTTGGGAGCCAGATGTAAGGCTGAGTGCCCCACAGGGTCGTAGGGTAAGCCTTATGCTGTGCTCAGGCGCAGGATCCGAGAACTTTAAAAGACAGGACACAGAGTACAGAGAAAATGCAGCTGGGCTCGGCGGGAGTTGGGGGGTAGGGGGGGGGGGGGAGGGTGAGGATGGGGGTGGGGGTGGGGGAGGGGTGGGGAGGGTGGGGGTGGGGAAGGGGGAGAGGGGAGGGGGCGGGTGGGGGAAGAGGGAGCGGGTGGTGGGTGGGGTGGGGGGAGGGGAGCGGATGGGGGTGGGGGTGAGGGGGTGGGGGTGGGGGGAGGGTTGGGTTGGGGGGAGGGTTGGGGTGGGGGAGGGGTTGGGTGGGGTTGGGGTGGGGGAGGGGTGGGGTGGGGTGGGGGAGGGGTTGGGGTGGGGGAGGGGGTGGGGGAGGGGGCACGCCACGCCACCTATAAGCAGAGTCAGGTGAGGCCCCGAATGTCCAGAAGCATGAGTATTTATTGTGTATAGGTTAGGGGGCAGGGCAGTGAGTGAAATCATCTTTGAGGATAGTGATAGGGTCGTGAGCAATAAAACATGGGGTCCACCCCCATGAGGTCACCTAGGCCAGGAGGTGGACAGTGCACAGCAAGGGGCCCATTCCCACGGAAGCAAGGGCCACGTGCAGTAAGGGGTCCACCCCCATTGGGTCACTGAAGCTTGAAGGTGGGCCGTGCTCAGTGAAGAGGGTACAGTGTGCGATACTTCTATCTATGGGAAAACTGCTTCTAAGAAGATTTATAGGAGGATGCTTTAAGTCACATAGCAGTGACAGAGCTGTCAAAGTTACCACCACCTTCTGGTAGCTTCCAATGGGTTCTATGGGAAGATGCTTTTCGAGCAGCACAGTAGCAAGAGCTGATAAAGTTCACAGTCACCAAGGTGGATTGCCAGTCTGAGGGCAGCCTTCCACAAGAACTGGAGCAAGGTCCTACAACTCCTTTATCAGGAGGAGCGGCTCTCACCCCAAGCCTGCCATCCAGCGGGTATCTTTACGATACTCAACCTGGGCCATGGATTCTTGTCCTGGTATAACTGTTTTTCCCTTAAGTCATGCTCTGCACTGTGTCTGCTCTAGGCATTTCTCCCATTATAAGCTGCTTGTTCTTTAATTCGTGCTCTGTACTGTGTCCACTCTAGGCATTCCTCTGATTATAAACTAAGATATAATTATAGGTATATATGTAGGGAAATATTCTTTAGGCACTCATACTATCAACTATTAATGATTATATATAGAGGATTAGATAAAGGGAGGCTTCAAGCCTTATTTCTATAAACTAATATATGATTGTGTAAAGGATTATATAAAAGGAAATAGCGGAGTAGTAACACTATAAAGTGTTACTTCCTCAAGCCCTAACTGTGTCAGGGTTCTGCTTAGCTCTCATTCCTCGGTACCTATATGGGGGATTACCCACACTAATGCAGCCCGGCAGTCCCATCCGCCCTAGGGAAGAAGAAACCAGAGACCCCGCAACCCGAGCTGGGGTCAGGACAGGGGTAAAAAGGAGTTCCACAGGGACAATATCACAGACACCCCCACCAGCCACAGGCCTGCTCTGCTCTCACCCGCTCTCCACACACAAACCTTCCAGCAGCCCCAGGACTGCTGCCCTTTCTCCCTGAGCTTTCCTGCAGACACTGTCCTGCACCCAGGGGCTCAGCAGACACTTCCCACCTCTCCCTCACATCCACTGCCACCTCCCAGGTCACATCCTCTCACTCCCCACCTCAGCCCAGCCCTGTCACCCCACAGGCCTCCCTCACCACCTCCCCCACCAACTGGCACCTTCTTCCCTTTGCCCAAGGACACACCCAGCAAACACATACCTAACTCCCCACAGAACCTGTGCAGGGGAAATGGGACACACCATGTCCCCCATGATGACCCTGGGAACCCTGGTGAGTAGAGGTGCCCACTTCTGCCCTTGGGTCCCAGAGCCACCTGATTCCTACTGGGGAGACAGCCTCATAGAGAAGAGTCACCGTGCATGTTCCCGGAGCCAAGCCCATCTGGCTGCCTTTTCCCAAGGCCAAATAATGAGAAGCAGACAAACTAGGAAAGAAGGGAATTTATTGCTGTAACCAGATAGAGGGAGAAGGCGGAGATAATTCCACCAGACCAACTGAAAGTGTTACCATTTTCTTAGTGCTTACATAGGTTGGGGTTATGTGCCTATGTGCAGTGTAGCTTTCACCTAAGTCTACAGGGAACTAATCTTATTTCACCGAGAAGGTCAGAGGCAAAAATCCTCACTAAGTCTGATTAAAAGGGCCCCAGTACCTTCATCGCCTGTATGCTGTTGTACCAGGGTGATTATTATTTTTTATTTTATTTTATTTTATTTGAGATGGAGTTTCGCTCTTGTTACCCAGGCTGGAGTGCAATGGCGCGATCTCGGCTCACTGCAACCTCCGCCTCCTGGGTTCAAGCAATTCTCCTGCCTCAGCTTCCTGAGTAGCTGGGATTACAGGCATGTGCCACCATGCCCAGCTAATTTTTTGTATTTTTAGTAGAGATGGAGTTTCACCATGTTGACCAGGATGGTCTCGATCTCCTGACCTCGTGATCCACCCGCCTCGGCCTCCCAAAGTGCTGTGATTACAGGCTTGAGCCACCGCGCCCGGCCCGATTATTTCTATCTTCTCTCCTTTACAGCTTGGTCAGGAGAGCTGCCTTAGGCGCTCCAATGAATCTATTCAAACAACTGCCCCTGCTACCTTGACTTGTCTCAGATACAGGTCCTGGCACTAGGAATGAAGACTGGCTCTATTGTTTTGGCTTGCTCCAGGTTAGGGAGAAGCCCATGCAAGGCTCCTATTGACCACATGTTTCATTTTTAGCTTTGACGTCTGGGCATCGATTTCCCTGGGTTTACCTGCTGAGTGTGAAGGCAGTGCTGTGGAAATCTGGCTGTGTAACTGGAGTGTCGTGCAGGCCTGTCTGTGTGACTGTCAGGGGGAATTGGCCTGCTACATGCAGACAGGAGTCAGCAAAGTCTTTCTAGAAAAAGAAGGCAGGAGGCACTTTGGTCTTTCAGGGTTCTCTGTCTCCGTGTTCAGTCCTGTCCCTTTGTAGAGTAACAGCAGACAATGGCAACCTGTAAATGAAGGGGGACCAGATTTGGCCACTGTCCTTTGTTGCTGTCCCTCCATGAGATTACAGTGTCCCAGTGATTGGGGCCCAGTTCCCTAGAATGCCATCTCCAAGCAGTGTCCAGGTTTGACTTCAAGAGTCAGAAGCGGGTCCTACTCTCCCTGTGGCTTCTGGGTGGTATAGATGTTACAGGAGTGGTGGTCCCATGGTTCGGGGTCTATTCTCCTCTACTTTGCTACTGAGTGGCATCTATGGTCCACAGGGTCCATCAGGGACCCTCTCTGAAGCCTCAAGTGTAAGCTGAGGGTGAGGGGGTGCAGCCATGTGGTGTCCGGGGATCGGGGCCAACTGCTTGTGCAGCTTCTCAGTTCCCTGTGGCCCTGCTCCTGCCCATCCCAGGAGAACCACCTGCATCTTCTCACAGCCAGGCCTACTTTCCTAATGACCTAGAGGGTGAGGAGCACACCCTGTGATGGCAGCTCTGAGGCTGTGCAGTCACTGCCTTCCTATAGGGAGGCCCATCTTCACCAGGGCCCAGAGACACACCTGGAGCCAGTTTACAATGAGGAGATTTTGCAGCTGTGAGTGGCACAGCCTTGATTCTGAGCACTGGGGGACGCTGTTGTGATTCTGCGGTTGGAAATTGCCATGAAATCCACATAGCACCTTTTCCAACCACACATGCCTCTGGGATCTTAGGGAGTCCAGGGTCAAATAGCCATAGTGGCAGGTCCAGCCCCACTCCTCATTCACGGATTGTGTATGGCTGCACCCCATCTACAAGGGCAGGGTTGAGTAGTGATGGGGAGGTCATATGACCAGCACAACCTGTAATAGGTACTAAATTAACTACAAACTCTATCCATTCCTGGTACAAATCCAGGAAATGTGAAATTACTATGGAATGGGTCTATGAGTGCAGCACATCCCTCTAACTGGACCTGACACAGGTGTCCATCCGTTGCTTTGCCCCAAATGCACCTCATGAGTAACAGGGGAGCAAGCAAATGCTTCAGATCCCTGGGAGGAGGTCGGCTCGCACACTGTGTCCACTAGGCGTGTCTGGGTATTTGCTGTTTCTTAGTGTACAGTCAGCAGAGTGAATGCCCGTCTGGCTCTGTGGGGAGGCTGAAGCAGTCACTGCAGTTGCTGTGGGTTGAAGGGGCCCACCAGGGGCTCTGGGCTCTTCTTCTAGTCATGGACTCTGGGTCTGAGATGTGGCTCAGTTGTCACTGTTGAGCAAAGGAGCCCGGTTATTTCCTGGGGTGACGACTTTCAGCTTCCAGGTCATCTGTCCTTGCATTTTGTCTTTGCTTGTGGTAATTATTTAAGTCTAGCAGTAGCTGCATGGAGTCTCCATCTCTTTTGGAACTTGGACCCCTTTGTTTTATGAGCCATGGGCATAGCTTTGCATGGCTGAGGTCCCCAGCTGGCATTGTGACTTCCCTAATCATTTCCATCATGGCACCCTCCACTTGAGATCTGGTATTTCAGGATTTTCCATCCCCATTACTGCTGGGAGCCCATTTCAGGAACAGCATCTCCTACACCCAACCCTGACCTTCAGCAACAGGCACACCTGAGCTTCTTGACAGTCCGCTGCCTTCTCCCGGGGCCTTCTTTATATGCTGGGTAGACAGGAGTCCTCCAGGCTTCCCGTGGGCACAATGTTCTGGATTTTCCTGCTGCAGCCACTCTGGCACGGGCGCTTCTCTGGGCCTTTTGTTCCTTCCCCTACAACCCGCCACATAAGAGCTGGGTTTTTGTTTCATGCGGTGTAGGTATTCTTTTTCAATGTCCCAAGGGCAACCTACTAGCAGATGAGAGGCACATTCCAGGGAACCCACTGTGTCTTGTTACCCATAATAAATAGACTCACTCTTCTCCAATGTTGACTACATTGTACCCACTGTGCCACGCTCCAGCATCCTCAGGGTGCCCTCCCCACTCTCCACCTCCCACAGTCCACCTGGGCTGCTGCTGAAGGTCCTGCCATCTAGGCCTTTCCTCCTGTAGCAGGCCTGGCACCTCCTGGGCAAGGTCCTGTGCTGACCGATGTATGTATAGGCCTGGGCAGAGTGGGGAGATGGACACATTGGTGACCCGTGGTTCCTCCACAGACAGAGGCCACTGCCCAGGAAGAGAAGCCCATGCAGCCTCGCCCTGCAGGAAACCCTCTTGCTGTCACAGTGTCTGGGGTCTTTTCCCCGCCCCAACACTCTCCGGTGTTTTTCTTTTTTCCCATAGACGCTCACTGTCGCTCGTACAACTTCACCATCACCCATCTGCCCAGACCTGGACAACGGTGGTGCAAGGTCCAAGGCCAGGTGGATCAGAAGAATTTCCTCTCCTATGACTGTGGCATTGACAAGGTCTTATCTGTGGGTTGCCTAGAAGAGCAGCTGAATGCCACAGATGCCTGGGAAAGACAACTGAAAATGCTGAGAGAGATGGGGCAGACGCTCAGACTGGAACTGGCTGATTTCATTCAGCTGGAGTATTTCACCCCCAGTGGTGAGTGGAGGAGACCGAGGACGGAAGGGAGCAGACTGTGGGCTCAGGGGCTGCACCGTGTGTGGGGAGAAGACATTAGACACGGGGCCTCCGTGACACCCAGCAGCAAGGGCAGGACCTGGAGGAGACAACAGGGCCAGATGAGAAGGGGCTCAGAGGAGGAGGATGTGGGGCAGGGAAGAGAATTTGTAAACACCAGAGCTGATCTCTATCTGATTGGGACAGGACCCGTCACGCTGCAGGCCAGGATGTCTTGTGAGTGTGAAGCCGATGGACACAGGAATGCATCCTGGGAGTTCAGCGTTAATGGACAGAAGTTCCTCCTCTTTGATTCAAACAACAGAAAGTGGACAGTGGTTCTTGCTGGAGCCAGGCAGATGAAACAGAAGTGGGAGGAGGACAGGAAACTGACTCAGCACTTGGAGAAGCTTTCAGTGGGAGACTGCGGGAGCTGGCTTCAGGACTTCTCGATGTGCAGGGAGAGGCAGGAGCCCACAGGTGACTACAGGGGAGCACTGGGAGCGCCTGGAGATGCTGTCGAGTTACAGCCTTGTCTGTCGGTGTCTGTGGTGGGTGCGGGTGTATGGGTGTGAGCGGGTGTCAGTGTTTGTGGGAGTGTGTGTGTGATTGTGAGTGTGTGCGTTTGAGTAAGAACATGACCCCTCGTGGGGGGCTCCTCCTGGGGGCGCCTGTGCTCTCCCATCCTCCTCTCCCTTCTCCCTCCTGACTCCTCTTCCTCACTGCACCTGCTTCTGCTCCCCTCACTGTGGATTTCTCGCCAGCCTCAAAACTATGGGCATTATTGTGTTTCTAGACCTTTCTCCTTAGATGTCCCTCCTCCTATAATCACTTTTCCTTTCCTCTCCCATTGTTCTGTTTCTGGAAATACATCAAAACCACCTCCAAGGGGTGGCAGGAGCAGAGGAGGTGTGTCTTCAAATGCGGGGCCTGGGCAAGGGTTGTGACGCTGGTGTTTCCATTTCAGCACCGCCCTCCGAGCCCACAGACACAGCCCAACCCATATCCGTGGCCACCACCGTCAGTCCCTGGGGCCTCCTCATCCTTCTCTCTTTCATCTTATATGTCATCTATATATAATCTGAGGTGAGTCATTTAGAGTGACAGGTACGGTGGGCAGATTTGGGAGGGGAGCAAGAAGCAGGTGGGTGACGTGAGAGCATGGGAAAGGAGAATTCCCAGAATCCCACCCCTCCCCATGGCCGGGACCTTTCCGTCCTGACATGAGACAGGTGAATGAGACCTCGTGTCACTTGTTGGCACTGACCTGGGCAGCTCTGCCCTGAGTTCTGATGGATTCTCACCTTCAGAGGCTGGAGGGAAAGGAAGGGGCCCATACAAGGCTCCGGGTCTGATTAGCCAACTCAGGCCTGTTTCAGAGCAGGTTCCTTCTTGGGAAGGGTAGTGGTGTGTGGCCCGCAGGCAGCAGGAACCCAGACACGGGCAGTCCGCACAGTAGGAGAGGAGCAGCATGGCCGCTTCACCTAGGAGGTCAAGGGAAAGGGCATCCCTGAAGGAGGCAGAGGAGAGAGTGATCTGGGGGAATCCCAGGACGAGGGGGCGGTGAGGCCTTGATTCACCCCATTCCAAAGGCCGCATTCCCAGAGAAAGCAGCTTGGGTTCCAGCAGTTAAGGGGGAAGGTGAAGGGTGGAGTGTGTCCAGGATGAGGTTTAGGAAAAGGCCGAGCCACTAGAATCCGTGGGATTGCCAGCAAGGCTCTGTGGCAGTGCCCCTGCCCTCCCGCCTCCTGCACACTCCAGACCCTGAGCCAGCTGCAGTCCTGCCTGGAGCAGATGGACGCAGACAGGGAGCTGAGCGGCTGCTGGAGTTCCATGGTCAGCACTGAGCTTGGCCAGGAATGAATGGGGCGGGTGGGGACGGTTCCATTCAGAGCTGTGGGTGCAGCTCCCAGGGTGAGGAGAGGCTGAGAGGGAAGGGGAAAGAGCAGGTTTGCCTGCAAGCCCACCCAAGGCCAGGGAACGTGGATCCAGAGACCGCTCTTTGGACAGGCCCCCCCAGATCCTCTAGACCCTTCTGTGAGGAGGAGGTGCAGGCCCTGAGTGAGGGTGCAGACCCCTCTTTCCCAGCCTCAGTTCTGAACCCCGTGGGCTGTAGTGGGGCCTGGGCTGGCTCAGTGATGTGGTGTGGGAGGAAGGAGGTTTCGAGGCTGCAGAGCCAGGGAGAGGGTTGGAGGGAAAACATGGTCCTTATCTGGGGGAGGGGCTCCAAAATGGGGAGGGCCTGGGAGGGGTCACCCAGGAGAACAGACCCAGGTTTTTCTCAGCCACTTAAACCAACGCTTCATCTTTCTGAAGGTGGAAGATGACACCCAGCAGCCCCTGTTGGCCCGGTTTGCCTCCCACTCTCCTTCAGGAAGGCCGCCTGTCTACTCACCACTGTGCCTTGCTGGACAGCCAGGAGTTCAAGCCTTGGCAAGGCCACAGCCTGCAGCAGATGATGAGGGCATTGGAGACCCAACCTCTCATGCCGCTCATTACCTTCAGTGATGGTCCTGGCAGCCGTTTTTCTTCACATCCTCTGCCACTTCCTCTCGGTGCTAATGGATGGAATTTCTGCACAAGTTATAACTGGACAAGAAATCCCAGCAAAAAGCATTTTCATTCTACTTTGTTGATTGTGGGAAAGCAGACACTTCTCTGAAGCATGACCTCATTATTCCAAACGGTATTGCTAGTAAAATCACATGCTGGGATTTACACCTCAGGAATCCTTTCCATACACTGACCAAGAATTCTATTAATCCTTTGTATTTTTAGGGTATTTTACATTTTCTCATTCTGTAAAACATATTGGAGGGAAGCGGCATAATCATCACTCACTGTAACCTCACCTGACAAAGGTCTAATATCCAGAAGCTAATATCTACAGAATCTTGTTCAGTATCCAGAATTCAACAAGCAAGAACAAAAAATCCAATGAACAAATGGGTAAAGAGATGAACATTGTTCAGTAGAAGACATGCAAGTGGCCAAATCATCAGACAGGTGCCAATCAAAACCGCAGTGAGTTACCACCTCTTACCTGTCACAAAGTCAGAGATGGTGGTGAGGCTGCAGAGAAAGGAAACAGACGCTGTTAAAGTAGAACTGCCATTCCACCCAGCAATTCTGCTAGTGGGGATATCCCAAAGGAAAAGAATTTATTTTACCAAAAAGACACCTGCACCCATATGTTCAATGCAGTGCTGTTCTCACTAGCGAGGACGCAGAGTCAATCTCAGTGCCCCGAAACAGTGAACTGAATGAAAACACTGTGGTACACAGATGCCATGAAAATCTATGCGGCCATGAAACAGCAAAATCATGTCCTCTTCAGCAACACGGATGGAACGAGAGGCTGTTATTCTAAGCAACCCAATGCAAGGACAGAAAGCCACATACTGCAGGTTCCCGTTGAAAGTGGCAGCTAAACATTGAATTCACATGAACCAGATGCTGGAGATCACTAGATGGGGGAGAGAGGAGGGACATCTGGCTGAAAACCACCTGTTGGGGACCCTGCTTACAGCTTGGGTGATGGGATCATTGGGACACCAAGCCTCAGCCTCCCAAAATCTATCCGTGTAACAGCCCTGTATGGGTACTCTTTATAATATAGGCTGAAATTAAAGATGGATGAATAAATAAAAATGACATAAGGCCCAAAAAAAGGGATTAACTGAGTGAGAGAACTCTGCACTATGAACCCTAACCCAGCTCAAAAAAATAAACTCCAATCATTTAAAATAACCGTAAGTTATATGATGATAATTGTATAAAAGTTATACATGTAAGTGCCATACCCTAAAATGAAACATTGCATAAGAAATTGCACATGAATTCCATCTTGTTCTTTATAGCCTTACTGTTTTCCCATTTTCAGGTGATATGTTTTGTGTATCCTCAGGGAATCCTTGCTGTCCGCCTTCCCCTTCTGCACCAACCCCTCCTTTTCCACTGTCCACCTCAGCCCTTCCTCAGTCCTGGGACTGTGGCTTCCTTGGCACTGAAGGCACTAGAGCTGCATTCAGCCTTGGGGGAGAGGAGGGGCCGGGCAGGTGATGGGGGTGGTCTCGGAATTGCAGAGGAGCCTCACAGCTCAGGCCCTCTATCGCAGACGGCTGCGTTTCTCCACCAGCTTAGCCACACCCAAGCCAACCTTGCCCCTTTCCTGATTGGCTTTTTTCTCACTCTTCCTAACTCCTTGAAAATTTACATACTTCCACCTAACATTTCTTTCTACTTGTCTTCACAATATATTCGGATTTATTGTGCCCAGAAAATACTGCTCTCACCACGTCTTAAGTTACCATCTAAACCATAGTGAGTGATTTGACACGAAAGAGGCCCCGCCCCAATCACTGTGTCTCTTTTATTCACTCGCCGAGTTCCTACAGCCTCAGCACCCACAATGGGCTGTGCTGCGCATGCTCCTCTGAGGAAAACAGACAGAATCCCTGCTCCAGTGTGGACAGCAGGTGAACACAACCAGCAGGTGCATTGCATGGGACGTAGAAAGGTGACAGATGATTCAGGGCACAGAGAACAAGGTTGTGGGGAGGAAGAACAGGAGGGGAGCCCCGAAGTCCTCAGTAGCTGAAACATGAAGGTCTATCGAGAAGGTGACATGTGAGTCCCGCCTTCAAGGAGGTGAGCATTCCCGCAGGAGGCAGAGGCCTTGAGAGGTCCAGGGAAAATCCAGAAGGTATATAACATTTTTAAGACAACTCTAAAACAAATGAAAGCCTGGGTGAACCTAAAATGCAATAAAAAAAAAAAAAAGAAAAAAAAAATCATCACATGTACCCCAAAACCTAAAATGCAATAAAAAAAAAAAAGAAAAAAAAAGAAAAAAAAAAAAAAAAAGAAAGCCTGGGTGAAGTGACTCACACCTGTAATCCAAGCACTTTGGGAGTCCGGGGTGGAAGGACTAGGAGATTGAGACCAGCCTGACCAACATGGAGAAACCCCATCCCTACTAAAAACAAAAATCAGCCAGGCGTGGTGGCAAGTGTATGTAGTCCCAGCTACTCAGGAGGCTGAAGCAGGAGAATCGCCTGAACCTGGGAGGCAGGCATTGCAGTGAGCCGAGACGGCGCCGCTACACTCCAGCCTGGGCAGGGAAGACTCTGTCTCAAAAAGAAAAAAAGAAAAGAAAAAGAAAAAAAAGAAAAAGAAATACCCAAGAATGTATTTATTAAATAATTAGTACCAAACAATAAATATTTATGACCTAGCAATTTAATCACTATTTAAGAAAACATTTCACGTAAATTGAAAATGTAGTATGTTTATTTCATTCTTTTTGTTTGTTTGTTTCTGAGCTGGAAGGGCTGGGTGTCATTTATCAATGGCAGTTTCTACACATTTGTTTCCTTCCCGTGGTAGTGTCCTTCCCAGCGCAGGCACAGAGCCCAGGAGAAGGGCAGTCTCTGAACCAGGGAGCCGGGAACGCAGGTCAGACACATCTCTGGTGGAGGTTCAGCCCCAGCAGGATGCAATCCTTCAAGTTGGAATTCCCTTGGGTGTTAGAGAGGGACCCAGGTGGGTGTAGAGAGGGAATCTTCAAGGGGGCTCACATCTCAGTCCAGGCCTGCTCACTATCCAAGTCCATCCAAGATTTAGGACTCTGGGCGGCAACAATCAGGCCCACCCACCTCAACAGGGGCAGATTCTTCAATCTGTGCCCAGTTCACACAGACCTGCTGGTCACACAGCTAAAGAGCAGCAGCCTTATGGAAAGAGACAGACTATGTCCTCTCCGTCCCTCTCCCGGCACATCTCTTCAGCGGCATCTGCGCAGGAACTGCTGTGAAGAAGGAGGCCTGCCTTCTCAGTTCAGACACGTGGGCCTCATCCGCAAATCTTCCATCAGCCACAGGATGGAGGCCACACGTGGACCCAGGAGGACACCTGTGCTCCCCAGTCCATCACACACTGCCCTGCCTGCAGGCTGCCAGCTGCTGGTGCCAGGCCAGAGCTTCAGCAGGCCCCAAATTGGGACCTAAAGCCAGTTTGCACAGGCACTTGGCAAATTTTTGGTAGGGAGGTGGATAAAAAAGTACATGGATGTGAGAAGAACCAAAGAGTCATTTGATAACCTAATTAAAGATATGAAGAGATTTTACCTTTATCTCCTTCACTGTAAGCCAATGATGAAATTTCACCATGATTTCTGGGGAGGGGCAGAAGGAAGGCAGTGTTAAGAATCATCCAGTCTGTGGCCCAGTCGGCCCACAGAGGTGCAGGCAGGGTGGGCCCTCACTGGGGCAGCTGGAGGAGCACGGATGTCCCTGCCAGCAGGTAGGTGATGTTCCGAGAGAGAGCGTGAGACCTGGCCTGCGATGTCCTCCGCAGCTTCCAGCTTGTGCAGCTCCATCAGGCCGTCCCGTGCGGTGGCCGGTGAGGTGACAATCAGCTCAGCTGCCTTGGAGCCACCCTCAGCAGAAATGACAGCCGCCTTTTTCTGCTCAGCCTTTTCCACGACAAATCTGGCCCTCTCTGTTTTCTGCTGAACCACCTGTTTGGCTTCCACCGCTTCTGTGAACTCCTTCCCAAAGGTGAGATCTGTCAAGGACATGTCAGCCAGGATGAGCCCAAAGGTGGCTGCTCGCTCCGTCATTCACCTGCCTGGGGAACAGCTCTCTCTGGGAGATTAGTTCTCCAGCATCAAAGCCAACCACGACTGACTGAGGATCTCAGTCCTGATGGATGCAGCCCACCCTCATCATAGCCCTCTCCCATGCTGGTGGAGATGCGGGGAAGCTGGCCAGGGGAGGGCAGGGAAGCTGGCTAGGGGAGGGCACGGAAGCTGGCTAATGACCAGAAGAGGACACGCAGTGTGATGGTGATATTCTGTAAATCTTTGCTACCAGTGATGACTGGCACATGAAGTGGTTGGAACAGCAATCAAATATAATTGGTTTCTGTCCCATGGGATGAGAAAGTGAGTTTCTTCCCCTCCACAATGTCCTGTACTCCACGGAATCAATCAAAGATAGCAGCTCTGTGCCCAGCATCCACATTATATACGGTGGAGTTCACCACACCTCCTGCCACAGCTAAGGCCAGGCCATACTAGCAGACCGACTCAAACACTTTGGCAGCCATGTTTTCTTCTGCTGGGCTCTCTCACACCGGCCTTTATTCCGACCTGCACGTCAGTTCCCCCTATTTTATTCTCAAATAAGCACAAGTGTGTACTAGTGGACATGGGTACCTGTTGGGCACTGAGCAACTTCTCAAACCTTGGAAATAGATTGGGCACAGACGCCCTCATTTCCTGTTTCATACCAATTTTTGCAGGGGATTGTGTTTTTTGTGTGTGTGTGTGTGTGTGTTTTTTTTTTTTTTTTTTTTTTTTTTTTTTTTTTTTTTTTTTTTTTTTTATCACAGCAACTGCTGAAATCACAGATTGTAAAAATACCACGTCATCTGAAGCAATGATGTATAGTCTAACGTTGAAACTAACACCGTGGACTAGCACTTCCTAGTCATTTCCAGCAGATGGCACTGCTTACCTTTTAAATATTTCCATAAGCCCAGAGGGTTTGCTCAGTGAGTTTGTGCCCTGAGTTCCTTGGCACACAGCTTGTGACATCATGGTGGATGAGGGAGGGATCCATAAAAGGTTTATTTCTGGGGCTTGGGGCAGTTCCTCCCATCCTACAGATCGAGATGCCCTGAGGGCAAAGAGCAGAGGGGTGCCCTCCAGTGGCCCTGCAGTTCTGCCCCAGGGGAGAGGGTTCTCTTCTGCTGCAGCAGAAACGAGCAGGACCCTGCTTCATCCCAGAACCCAGGGGACCAGGAAGGAAGGTCAGAGTGAGGAGCTGTCTGAGTGTTTCAGATCACACAGTGACATCCTGCTTGAAGTCCTTCAGAAGTCCTTCAGGAGCTGAGAGAGAGCCCCCAAGATGACAGGTGAGTGGGCAGAATGGGACAGACAGGACAACTCTCGAGATGACATGCAGTTTCTTCCGTGTTTTTATATACGTCTGTGTGTGCACGTGTATGTGCGTGTCTGTGTCTGAATCTCTGCTGCAGTTGTGTATGTGTGGGGGTTTGTGTGTGTGTGTGACACTGTGCGTGTGTACCTGTGTGTGTGTGCGTGTGTGTGTGTGTGTGTGTGTGTGTGATAACATGCATGCATAAATGGTGAATTGATTTCCTGGCTGATTTGCTGTGTAGAGAGATAGGGCCTCCACCGGAGTTCCCGCCCACCCCTCATTCCCTGTCTTCCCTCCTGACATTCTCTCCTCCCTGTGGAAAGAGTCTACCCCAGTAACTGAGGTTTCATTCCTGCAGACTTCTCACAGCTCCCCAGACTTCTGTGATAATTGCACCCCAGGCCTCCTCCTCAGGCCTGTCCCTCTGCCGGTTGCCCTGTCTTCTCCTCCCACCTGGCCATGCTGTATTCTTTGTGGGTAACCCCCATATAGGTACCAAGGAAGGAGAGGTAAACAGAATCCTGGCACAATTAAGACCTGGAGAATATTTCAGTTTATAGTGTTACAACTCAGTTATTTTCCTTTATACAATCCTCTCTATATAATCATATATTAGTTCATAGAATGAGTGTCTAAAGAATATCTTACCACTCAGTTATTTCCATATATATATATATAAATATATATATATAACTATATCTTTGTTTATAATCAGAGGAATGCCTAGAGCAGATACAGTACAGAGCATGAATAAAGGAATAAGCAGCTTATAATTGGAGGAATGCCTAGAGCAGACACAGTGCAGAGCGTGACTTAAGGAAAAAGCAGTTATACCAGGACAAGAATCCATGGCCCAGGTTGAGTATCATAAAGATACTGGCTGGATGGCAGGCTTGGGGCGAGAGCCACTCCTCCTGATAAAGGAGTTATAGGACCTTGCTCCAGTTCCTGTGGAAGGCTGCCCTCAGACTGGCAATCCACCTTGGTGACCGTGAACTTTATCAGCTCTTGCTACTGTGCTGCTCGAAAAGCATCATCCCACAGAACTCACTGGAAGCTGCCAGCAGGTGGTGGTAACCCTGACAGCTCTGCAACTACTGGGTGACTTAAAGCATCCCCCCATAAATCTTCGAGGAAGTAGTTTGCCATAGATAGAGGTATTGCGCACTGCACCCTCTTCACTGCGCACGACCCACCTTCAAGCCTCCGTGACCTAATGGGAGTGGACCCCTTACTGCACACGGTCCTTACCTTGATGGGAATGGACCCCTTGCTGTGCACTGTCCACCTCCTAGCCTAGGTGACCTAATGGGGGTGGACCCCTTGTTTTATTGCTCACGACCCTATCACTATCCTTAAAAATCATTTCACTCACTGCCCTGCGCCCTAACCTATACACAATAAATACACATGCTTCTGGACATTCAGGGCCTCAACTGACTCCGCTCACAGGTGGTTTGGCCCCCGGAGCCCAGTTGTGTTTTACTTGTGTCCTGTCTCTTTATTTCTCAAATCCTGTGCCTCAGCACAGCATAAGGCACACCCCACCACCCTGTGGGGCCATCAGCCCTGCATTCTTACTATTCCTACAAGAACAATCTGAAATGTCACCTCCCGAGAAGCCTCCATGCCACTCCTCAGGCAGAATGAGTCACCCCCTCTTCTGCCCTCTGATAGCCCAAACCACCTCGAGGACATCACATCGGCAGCAGCCACCACATGGGTGTTTGTTTCTATGCCTGGATCTAAGTGCCTTGAGGACCAGACACGTCAGTCACCCACCTGAAATCCCAGCACCTAGCACAGCGGCTGCCATACGATAGGGTTTAAGACACATGGGAGGAAGTCAATCATCAGACCACCCCAGGGCTACTAGATCTGACTCAGAAAGGAATCCCTATAATTTGGGGAACTGCACAAAGTTCTTCATTTCTGTTCTTTCCAGCATCAATCTCCATGGCTTCGCTCATCCATACTCCTTTCTCCTATTAAGATTGGCCGGTCAGGAGAAGAGTAGGAGCAGGAGCAGCCACACCTGGTCTCCTCCACCACCCACAGTGGGGTGCACCCTTGGTGGGACCCAGTGAGCGGGACATCCCCTGGGCCTTGGGGACCTGGAGCCTCCACAGCCCCACAGAGACCAGCAGGAGCTGTTCAGCCATTTGCAGAGACAGCAGAGAGTGCTTCACGGGCTGCATGGGGCTCTGGAGAAGCGGGGATTCCAGGACCCTCTTTCATGGGGCGTGAGATATTTAGGCAGGTTCATGTCTATGGAAGAGGCTGTCACTTTGGCTTTTCAATGCCTTCACCTCCTTGCCCCTCCAGACCAGAGGGGGCACTTTACTTGTTTTTATGGATTATTGTGTCAACCAAAACAAGAGCTCAGAATCACCCTCAAGATTTGAAACTTAAGGTTTGACAAAATGCACAACATTTTCATGGCACTTCTATTTTTAGGAAATTGTGTCTGAAGAAAACATTTTATTGTATGGCATTGCCCAAATTACTTCTGCAGAATGTTTAAAACTACACAATGTCATACAACCATGTGAAAAGTAACAACTCAACAGCAACAACTTTTTGGGCCAGGAGTGGTGGTTCATGCCTGTAATCCCAGAACTCTGGGAGGCCAGTGACAGAGGATGGCTTGAGGCTGGGAGTTGGAGATCAGCAGTGGCAACATGGTGAGAGCCCATCTGTACAGACAATTTCAGAAAACTGACCAAGTGTACTAGCATGTGGCTTTAGCTCCAGCACCTCAGGAGGCTAAGGTGGGAGGATCACTCGAGCCTGGGAGTTTGAGGTCACAGTGAGTCGTGGTGGTGCCACTGCAATCCAAACAGGAAGACAGAATGAGAGCCTGTCTCAAAGAAAACAACAGCAGCAGCAGAAGTAACAAAAAAATAATTTAAACCCCAATAAGCTAAGCTGACAGAAGAGTTGTAGGAACCAAATGACCAAATAATGCCATTTTTCACATTTGATGAATGAGAGGGCTTGCTGAGTGTTAGTATTCTCAGAAGCTTCTATCTAATGAAATCTAATTTACTCTGGTGAATCCACTCCCTAGTCCAGGTCCACTGAGGACAAGGTGGCTCCATGGGATTCACATGAGGGATTTCATTGGTGGAAACCGCGGGGAGAACCATTCAGCGGGACACAGTTCTGATGCCAAGTGCAGGAGGGAGGGACAGGAGGTGGGGCGGGCGCATCCTACACCACAGTGAATGGTGCTGGGGCCACTGGGCGCCACCTGCAGGAGAATGAGGTGGACCCTTCCTTCCAGCACACACAGAAACTAGCTCTAGGTGAATGGCAGATGTCCACCTAACACATGAGAATATGAGAATCTCAGAAGAAAATAGAGCAGTAAATTTTCGTGACCTGGATTTGGCAAAGGCTTCTTAAGTACTGTATGCCAATAGCACAAATGGCAAAATAAAAGGTTGTTTAATTTCATTTCATGCAAATGTAAAACTTTTGTATTTCAAAAAAAAAACTCCATTTAGAAGTTAAAAAGCTTTAAAAATGGAGAAAATATTTGAAAATCATATATTTGGTAAGGGACTGGTATCCTGAGTATATAAAGAATTCTTGCAACTCAACATTATTAAACAAACAAACAAACAAAAAAGAATTCAAATATATGCGAAGAATTTGAATACGTATTTCTCCAAATGAAACTGGTATAAAACAGTGTGGCCACAAAAGAAGAGAAAATTTTAGGCATCGGTTTCAGGTGAGCAGCAAAAGGAATCTGTTGAAATATCTGCAGAGGCTCTGGCCTGATAAGACCCTATGAGAGTGTGGAGCAAGCCGGCTAAGAATGAGCGGACCCAACAAGGTCCTGGATTTGACCTCGGTTTCCCTTAGAACCTCATTATATGCTCATTAACATACTGAACACACACCCACCAGGGTCCTGGCAATTCTGAGAATATCCATATTTGGTGTATAAATGGGTGTCACCACAGTCCTGAGAAATCCTCTCCTTCTTCCAGGAATTTTCATGAATATTCTACCCCATGGTTGGAGAAACCCAGAATGGTGGCAGCCCCAATCGCCCTTGCACCAGCCTCTCTCTGGAGCGCCCCTGTGCTCCCTTTACTTGAGTGTGCACTTTTCCTTTTGCAGTAAATCTCTGTCCTTTCTCTGTTTTCCTACTGCTCCTTGAATTCATTTCCCCAGGTGGTGTCAAGAGCCTGACACGGGCTGGGGTCGAGGTCGCATCAGCTTTTGGGGACCTCCCCTTGCTCACTGGCATCAGAAAAAGAACGCAAATGGCAGTGAGCCCAGGAAAAGGTGCTCAGTGTCCACAGCCCTCGGGAAATGCCAATTGCACCCTCAGGGGATGATTCACCCCTTTGGATGGCTGACCCCAAACACAGTGAGGGTGGAAGGGATGGGGCCAGCGTTCCTACAGTGGAGAGAGCAGGAGATGGAGAATCCCTGGAGTTTGGGGGTGTTTGCCTGTCACCCTCTCCCCATTCTCATGGCTGGGGTGTCTCCCTGTTCTCTGGCCCTACGGGCTTCCTTCCTCTCTCTTTCTCCTGCCCTCTTTTCCAACCATGCCAGGGTTTTCTGAACCTCACAACGTTCAAGCTGCCGGGTCGGGAGTGGGCCGCCTAGCAGAGAAACCCGGAGCCCTGGACCTCAAGCAACGGGGTCGGGAGGCGACAATGGGAAGCCCCTGCGAGACCCTGGACACACAGGACCTCGTGTGACCTGGGCGCCCTCCCTCAGCAGCCCCAGGGCAAGGAGGATGGGGGTCCTCGCCGGGGCCACATTTTTGGATCCCTAGGGATTCCAGCGGGACAGTGACGTCTCCACACTGAGCCCGCGGCAAAGTCCCCACGAGGATGAAGAAGGAACCTGGCGCTCCTCACTCCACGAGGCCCCGTGTTTCCTAGAACCTCTTGATACAGGAACCGCCTATTTTTTGCCGCGATTGCCGAGTCTTCCCAGGTCTTCCAAAGGCCGGTTTTTCTGCAGATTTTGCACCCGGAGGCCCGGGGACATCGGCCTGCAGCGGGGCATCCACTCCACCAGGGTCTCCACCGTGCAGGACCCGGTCGGAGCTGGGGGACAGCGGGCGCCCTGGGAGGAGCGCTCAGAGCCGGGAGAGACACGGCCAGGTGGAAAGTGAAACCCGCAGGAGCGAACTTTCCCCGAAAGTCATCCGTGTTTGAAAGCAGCGATCACCTGCAATATCCCTTCTATGACAACTTGGTTGAGTAAATATCTAGAACCAGTGCCCGCGGGCCCCTGTCTGGGCACCGCATCCGCAGACCCTCTTGGTCCACAACAGATCAGGGCGAGCCCTCCCGGTGACCGTCCCTATGGCTCCCGGCGCCGCTCTTCCTTACTACTTCACCTCCATATATTCACAGGTTTCATGATAAAAACCATAAAACTCATGTGTGCAAGGCTCCCCAACTCCTGCCTGCTCCACTGTCATTGGCCACGTGCCCAGGACAAAACTTTATTGGATTCTTCACATCTTTCCAGGGAGTCTTTGGGCCATTTCAAACGCATATGAATACATATTCTAAGTCTGACTTGGATATTTTTGACTCTTTTTTTTTTTTTTTTGAGACATTTTAACAATATTGAGGCTTCCAATCCATTAACATGGAATATATTTCCATTTTTTAATAACTTCTTCAATATCTTACATCAATGTTTTATAGTTTTTGTTGCAGAGATCTTTCACTTTTTTTTTTTTTTTTTTTTTTTAAGAGGAAGAAAGAGAAAGAGGAAGAGGGAGAGAGGATGGGGGTATTGCTTTATTGCCCGGGCTAGAATGCAGTCTAAATATGGGTATGCCTATAATTGTCCTTAATAATGGAGACATGAAAGAAAATGAGGGAAGAGAATAGCAAACAAGGAGCCAACCAAGATTTCTTTTAAACTTCTAAGTTGATATGATGTGGTACTGATAAGAGTGTATATTTTGTATATTTAAAATGGAGAGTTCTATAAATGTTAATTACATTTACTTGTTCCAGATCTGAGTTCAAGTCCTGAATATCGTTGTTAATTTTCTGTCTCATTGATCTGTCTAATATTAATGTTGAAGTCTCCCACTATTATTATGTGGGAGTCTAAGTCTCTTTATAAGTCTTGTATGTCTGCGTATTCCTGTATTGGGTGCGTATATATTTAGGATCTTTAGCTCTTCTTGTTGTTGCATTGATCCTTTTATCATTATATAATGTCCTTCTTTGCTTCTTTTGATCTTTGTTGCTTAATTATAACTTCTGCTTTTTATTTATTTATTTTAGCTCTCTGTTTGGTTGGTAAATCTTTCTCCATCCCTTGTTTGGAGTCTTTGTGTATCCTTGAATGTGAGATGGATCTGGATGTAGCATACTGATGGGTTTTAGTTTTTTATTCAAATTGCCTGTCTTTGGATTGGGGGATTTAGTCAATTTAAATTTAGAATTAATAATAATATATGTGAGTTTAATACTGCCATTAGCTGGCTATTTTTTCCATTAGTTGATGTAAATTCTTCATTATATTGATGCTCTTTTTGATAATTTTTTTAGAAGGCCCGCCTCCAGGAGCAGGGCAGAGAGGAGGATGGAAAGGAACCTCGGGAGGGTGGAGGGGCGAGAGAGCTGCAGAGAGCGAGGTGGGGCGGAAATTTCTTGTGCGGTCCGGCAGTCCCACCCGCCCTCGGGAAGCAGAAACCAGAGCCCCCGAACCCGAGCTGGGGTCAGGACAGGGATGAAGGGGGTTCCACAGAGACAGGATCACAGACACCCCCACCAGCCACAGGCCTGCCTGCTCTCACCCGCTCTCCACCACACGAACCCTCCAGCACCCCCAGGGCTCTCTGTCCTTGAATTTTCCCCTGCACAGTCCTGCAGACACTCACTTGCACCCAGGGTCTCAGCAGACACTTCCCACCTCTCCCATCGCCACCGAGTGCCACCACCCAGATCACATCCCCTCACTCCCCACCTCACCCAGCTGGTCACCCCAGAGGTCTCCCCATCCATGAAGGGGCCCTCACCACCTCCTACACCACTTGGCGCCTTCTACCTCCTGCCTGAGAACACACCCCAGCAAACACAGCCCAAGCTCCCCAGGGAACCTGTGCATGGGGGATGGGAAGCGCCATTTCTTCCAGGACGACCCTGGGAACTCTGGTGAGTAGAGATGCCCACTTCCCCTCTGGGGCCCTGACCGACCTGTTCTTCCTACTGGGGAGCCAGCATCATAGAGAATAGTCACTGTGCAGACAGAGGTCAGGAAACCCTTTCTAGAAAGGGAGGAAGGATGCCCTGTGGTCTTTGCAGACTTTGGGGCCTCCGTTTCTGTATCTAGTCGTGTCCCTTTGTAGAGCTGTGATGATTACATGAGGCAGTCATGGAAGGAAGCCTGTAATGGTAGGCTCCTGTCCCCCGCTGGCAGCCAGCCAGTAATGCCAGTGAGCGGGCCCGGGGGTAAGTGCATTTGCCCTTCACAGCAAATTCTAGTTGGCCATAAATACCTCTGGAGAGGTCACAAAGAATTGTTCCACTTGCTGCAGGGTTAAAGGGTCCTTCCCTCACTGGGAACCGGTGTCTTATAGTAATGGGTTCAGGGTCTGAGAACTGGCTTAATTCTGAAAACTGGGCAAAGGAACCTTGTTCTTGATGGACTGGCTACTGTCAGCCTCCTGGTCATCCATCATTTGCTTTATCTTTTTTTGTTTTAGTTATTTACATCCAGCAGTATCTGAGTTGGGTTTCCATCTCTTTTGGATCTTGAACCCCTTTGTTCTATGAGCCATGGGCATAGCTTTGTACAGCTGAGGTCCCCAGCTGACATTGGGACTTCTCTAATCATTTCCATCATGGCACCCTCCGTCATCCTGACAGTTGACAGCCTCCACCTGGAATCTGTTATTTCAGGATTTCTTACCCCATTACTCCTGGGAGCCCATTTCAGGAACAGCATCTCCTACCCCCAACCCTGGCCTTCAGCAACAGGCATCCCTGAGCTTCCTCCCATTCTGGTGCCTTCTCATGGGGCCTTCTTTATATGCTGGGTAAACAGGAGTCCTCCAGGCTCCCTGTGAGCACAGTGGGTGGACATTGTTCCGGATTTTCACACTCAGACCCCTCTGGCATGGGCACTTCTCTGAACCTGTGATCCCTGCCTCTACTACCTGCCTTAGATTTTCAGATTTTCTGTTTCTTGCTCTGTGGACCATCCCTTTGTCCCAGGTTTCAGGAAGGTATCCTCGTAGCAGCAGGGCACCATCACCAGTGGCTTTGCCAACATGTTAAATCCTGTGACCATAACATTTGACTATGCTTTATCCAAGTGGGTTCCATCCTCACTCCATCTCACCATGCACTCGCATCTTCAGGGGCAGCCCCCACTCCCTCCCACTCCCTCCCACTCCCTGCAGGCCACTTGGGCTACTGGTAAAGATCCTCTGCCATCCAGGCCCTTCCTCCTCTAGCAGGCCTGGCACCTCTCTAGCAAAGTCTAGCAAAGTCATGTGTTGACAATGTGGACAGAGGGGCAAGGGGACATGTCTCTGGACATGTGGCTTCTCAGCAGGCAGAGACCTCCTCCTCCTCCTACTTGTCCTCATGCAAGGGGGAGCACTCTTAAACTTGCGAACACCACAGTTCTGGAGGGGACACTCCTTGCTGGACCAGCCCAGACCTCCAGAGGTGTACTCTTACTGTCACAGTATGGAGGAGGGCTATCTTGGGGTCTTTTTCTGCCCACCCTACCCACACACATCTTTCTTCACAGACCCTCACTCTCTTTGCTATGATGTGACCATCACCCCTAAGTTCAGACCTGGACCACGGTGGTGTGTGGTTCAAGGCCAGTTGGATCAAAAGACTTTCCTTCACTATGACTGTGGCAACAAGACAGTCACACCGGTCAGTCTCCTGGGGAAGAAAATAAATGCCACAAAGTCCTGGAAAGAACAGAACCCAGTACTGAGAGAGCTGGTGGACATGCTCACAGAGCAACTGCTTGGCATTCAGCTGGAGAATTATACACCCAGGGGTAAGTTTAAGACGGCCCAGGACAGGAGGGAGCAGATACAGGGGTAGGTTGGAGACATTTATAGTTTTCATGAAAAATACAAATGGGAAGGTTATCTCGCCCCACAAGAGGTCTAGAGGCAAGGCCAGGATGTGGCAGAGAGAGTAAGGCCTGGAAATTGTAAGGGGAACAGGATGGGGGCTCAAAATGCGTCAAGAGCTGATCTCTCTCTGTGGGGGCAGAACCCCTCACCCTGCAGGCCAGGATGTCTTGTGAGCAGAAAGCCGAAGGACGCAGCAGTGGATCTTGGCAGTTCAGCTTCGATGGACAGATCTTCCTCCTCTTTGACTCAGAGAACAGAATGTGGACAACGGTTCATCCTGGAGCCAGAAAAATGAAAGAAAAGTGGGAGAACGACAAGGATATGACCTCGTCCTTCCATTACTTCTCAACGGGTGACTGTACAAGATGGCTTGAGGACTTCCTGATGAGCATGGACAGAACCCTGGAGCAGAGCACAGGAGGTAACGAAAGAAAAGAAACGGGGATCTGCAATTAGGTCAGAAATGGTGATCTCGAGAAATTAGTCCTTGAGTTCAGCTTCAATGATCCCAGTTTACACATTTATGTTAAAATGACCCCCTCGTGGGGGGCTCCTCCAGGGGGCACCTGTGCTCTCCCATCCTCCTCTCCCTTGTCCCTCCTGACTCCTCTCCTCACTGCACCTGCTTCTGCTCCCCACACTGTGGATTTCTCACCAGCCTCCAATCTGTAACTATCACTGTGTTTCCACCTTTCCTCTTAATGTTCCCTCCTGCTAGGAGCACTTTTCATTTTCTTTCGTCTACCTTGGTCTGTATCTGGAAATCCATCAAAACCACCTCCAATACCAGCCCCAACACCCTCCTCTCCCCCATCCTGGGGCGTCACCTCCTCTTCCCCCACTGCAGGAGTGGGGGCTGTGCTGTCACCTTGCTTCCCTCAGCAGCTGTGTGAGCTCCCTGAGGACAGGGATGCCCCCTCTCCCTTCCTAACCCAGGACCTGTCACAGTGCCTGCCCAACAGCAGAGGGGGACACAATCTTTGCCTTGCAGGATGACCTGGGACAGCAGGAGCTGAGGAGGGGTCCCCTAAGATTTGGGGCCTGGACAAGGGTTGTCACTCTTGTGTTTCCATTTCAGCACCACTCACCATGGCCCCAGGCACTGCCCAACCCAAAGCCATGGCCACTACCCTCAGTCCCTGGAGCCTCTTCATCATCCTCCTCTGCTTCATCCTACCTGGCATCTGAGGATAGTCCACTGTGAAGGGAGGAGAAACTGGAACAGGCTTCCTGAAGGACAGCATGACAGGGCTCCATCAAGAGTCAAAAGTATCCAAGTCTGAATTAAGAATACATATTGGAATGGCATAAAGACTCCCTGGAAAGATGAGAATCCAATAAAGTTTCGTTCCAGGCGTGTGGCCAATGAGAGTGGACACAGGCAGGGGCGGGGGAGCCTTTCACACATGACTTTTCATGGTTTTGATCCTGAAACAGGTGAACATACGGAGATGAAGAAATAAGGAAGAGTGGGGCCCGGATTCCCGGGGACTGTCACCGGGTGGGTTCGCCTGACCTATTGTGGACCACTTGGGTCCAGGGACGGGGAACCTGGGCAGGGACCCGAGGGGCTGCTGCAGTGACGAGGCACTGCTTCTAGATACTTACCCAACGGTGTTGTCACAGGGGGAATATTACAGTTGGATTGCTGATTTCAACCACAGATGACTTTCGGGTAAAGGTTTCACCTGAAGGGTTTCAGTTTCCATCCCGCACTGTGCTCTCAGGGTTCAGCAAGCTCCTCCCAGGGCGTCCGCTGCTCCCCACTTTTGGAACCTGGGCCTGCCGGGTAAAGACCCCGGAGTGGGTGCTCCGCTGCCGGCCGATGCCCCCGGGCCTCCGGGTCCACAGACTCCGGGCAAAACGGCCTTTGGAAGACCTGGGAGGACTCCTTGGTCGCAGCAAGGGCCAGACAGTTCCCGGGTCATGAGGATCCAGGAAATGCTGGACCTGGTGGGGTGAGGAGCACGAGGTTCCTCCTTCACCCTCGAGGGGACGTTGCCACAGGCTCAGTGTGGAGACGTCACTGTCCAGCTCGGATCCGTGCGGCTATGACAGTGTGGCCCCAGAGGACCCCCCCCATCCTCCTTTCCTTGCCCTGGGGCTACTGCGGGAGGGCGCCCAGGACACACTAGGTCCTGAGTGTCCAGGGTCCCACAGAGGCTTCCCGATGTCGCCTCCCCAACCCCAACACTCAGGGTCCAGGGCCCCTGGTTTCACTGCTGGGCTGTGGGCCAGGAGCATGGACATAGTGAGGCAGAGAAAACCTTGGGATGGGTGGAACAGAAGGATCACAGGGAGGGCAGGAGAAGGGGAGAGGAAGGAAGCAGGTGGGGCCAGAGAACAGGGAGAAACCCCATTTCCCAAAATGGGGAGAGGGTGACACTAGGACAGCCCCCACACTCCAGGGACTCTCTGTCTCCTGCTCTTTGCCCTGTAAGGAACACAGGCCCCACCCCCTCCACTCTCTTTGTGTTTGGGGTCAGACATCCCAGCGAGGTGAGGCGTCCCTTGGGGGTGCAATTGGCATTTCCCCCGAGGGCTGTGGACACTGAGCACCTTTTCCTGGACTCACTGCCATTTGCATTCCTCTTCTGATGCCAGCTGGCAAGAGGTCCCGAAACGCCAGTGGGTCTGTGACCCCAGCCGGTGTTGGGCTCTTGACACCGCCTGGGGAAATGAATTCAAGGACCAGTAGGAAAATAGAGAACGGACAGAGATTTATGGAAAAGTGCACACTCAAGGAAAAGGAGTGCAAGGGAGCTCCAGAGAGAGGCAGGTGCACAGGGCTTTGGGGCAGCCACCTTTCTGGATTTCTTTAACCAAGGGGTTAAATATTCATGAAAATTCCAGGGAAAAGGAAAGGATTTCTCAGAACTACGATGCCACCCATTTTTACACCAAACATAGATATTCTGCGAAGTGCTAGGGAGCTGGCTGGTGTGTTTACTATGTTGATCAGCATGTAATGAAGTCCCAGGTGAAACCTACATCAAATCCAGGGCCATGTTGAATCCGCTCCTTCTTAGCCAGCTTGGTTCACACCCTGTCTTTTAGGGTCTTACAGCCTGGAGCCCTTGCAGATATTTCAACAGATTCCTTTGGCTAGTCTCCTGAAAGTGCTGCCTAAAAGTCTCTCTTCTTTTACGACCACCCTTTATTATACCTGTTTCCCTTTGGCGAAATATTTATTGAAATTCTTACATATATTCAATTGGGTTATTTTGCTTTATAATATTGAGTTGTAAAGGTTCTTTATATATTCAGGATACCAGCACCTAACCAGATATATGATTTTCAAATATTTTCTCCATTTAAAAAGTTTTCTTAATCTTTTAAGTGGAGTCCTTTTTGAAACACAAATGTTTTACATTTGCATGAAATGAAATTCAACTGCCTTTAATTTTGTCATTTGCTCCATTGGCATACAGTGTTCAGTTCTGTTCCTGAATTCTAAGTTCACATCCGTCACCCACATGTGAACCCAGCACCTACCACAGTGGCTGCCATAGGATAGGGTTTAAGACACATGAGAAGAATCCAATCATTAGACTACCCCAGGGCTGCTAGAACTCAGAAAGGGATCCCCATCATTTGGGGGATTGGACGAAGGGCTTCATTTCTGTTCTTTCCAGCACCAACCTCCATGGCTCCACCCATCCCTACTCCCTCTTCTGTTAATATTGGCCGGTCAGGATAGAGGCAGGAGCAGCTACACCTGGTCTCCTTCACCACCCACGGTGGGGTGCATCCTTGGTGGGGCCTGGTGAGATGACAGTCCCTGGGCCTAGGGGACCTGGAGCCTCCACAGCCCCATAGAGACCAGGAGGAGCTGTTCAACCACTTGCAGAGGCAGCCAGAGAGTGCTTCACGGACTACATGGGGCTCTGGAGAAGCCAGGAGTCCACAACCTTCTTTTGTGGAGCATGAGAAATTTAGGCAGGATCATGTCTACAGAAGAGGTTGTCACTTTGGGTTGGCAATGCTTTCACCTCCTTACCCCTCCAGATCAGAGGGGGTGCTTTACTTGTCTTTGTGGATTATTGTGTCAACCAAAACACAAGGTCAGGATCACCCTAAATGTCTGAAACTTCTTCAAGATTTGACAAATGCACAACATTTTAATGCCACTTCTGTGTTTGAGGAAGCTGTGGCTGAAGAAAACATTTTATCGTATAGCATTGTCCAAATTACTTATACAGAATTTAAAAATCTACAAACTGAAATACAACCATGTGAAAAGTAAAAACTAAAAAGCAATAAGGTTTGGACCAGGAGTTGTGGCTCATGCCTGTAATCTCAGAACTTCAGGAGGCCAATGCCAGAAAATTGTTCAAGGCGAAGAGCTGGACATCAGCCGTAGCAACATGGTGAGACCCTGTCTTTAGAGAAAAATTTAAAAATTGACCAAGTGTAGTAGCATGTGCCTGTATTCCCAGCTCCTCAGGAAGCAAAGATGGGAAGATCTCTTGAGCCTGGGAGTTTAAGGTTGCAGGAAGTTGAGGTGGTACCACTAGACTCCAGCCTGGGGACAGAATGAGAGCCTGTCTCAAAGAAAACAACAATAAACAACAACAGCAATGTAAGAAACAACACAAAAAAATTAAATAAGCTAAGAAGACTTGTGGGACCCAAATAGGAAATCATGCCATTTCTTATTTTGATGTAGTAAGGGGTTTGCTGAGTGTCAGTATTCCCAGAATGTTCCATCTCATGAAATATAATTTCTTCTGGTGTATCTCCTCCTTAGTCCAGGTCCTCTGAAGAGCAGGTGCCTCCTTGGAATTCACAGGATGGATTTCATTGGTTCGGACCCTGGGAGAACTGCTCAGCAGGGAGCAATTCTGATGCCCAGTGCAGGAGGGAGGGACAGGAGGTGGGGCAGGTGCATCCTACACTACAGTGAACCGTGCTGGGACCACTGGGTGCCGCCTGCAGGAGAATGAGGCGGACCCTTCCTTCCAGCACACACAGAAAGTAGCTCTATGTGAATGGCAGATGTCCACCTAACACATGAAACTATGAAAGTCTCAGAAGAAAATAGAGGAGTACATTTTCGTGACCCAGGATTTGGCAAAGGCTTGTTAAGTACTGTATATCAATAGCACAAATGTCAAAATAAAAGGTAGTTTAGCTTCATTTCATGCAAATGTAAATGTTTAGTGCTTAAAAAAAAACACCTTTAGGTTAAAAAAAACTTACAGAATGAAAGAAAATATTTAAAAGGCATACATCTGGTAAGGGACTGGTATCCTGAACATATAAGGAGCTCTCACAGATCAATATTATAAAGTGAAATAACCCCACTTAAATATATGCAAGGAATCTGAATAGATATTTCTCCAAAATGAGACAGGTACACTACACCGTGGTCAGAAAAAAACAGAAACTTTTAGGCAGCAGTTTCAGGTGACAAGCAAAAGGAGTCTGTTGAAATACGTGCAGAGGCTGAGGGTTTATAAGACTCTGACAAACAGCATGTGAACCAAGCCGGCTAAGAATGAGCGGACCCAGCGTGACCCTGGATTTGCTGTAGGTTTCATCTGGGACCTTACTACATGCTGATGAACACAGTAAACACACCAGCCAGCTCCCTAACACTTCAGAGCATACCGATATTTGGTGTAAAATGGGTGGCAGCACAGTTCTGAGAAATCCTCTCCTTTTTCCAGGAATTTTCATGAATATTCCATCCCTTGGTTGGAGAAACCCAGAAAGACGGCAGCCCCAAACCCCGGTCCACCTGCCTCTCTCTGGAGCTCCCCTGCACTCCCTTTACTTGAGTGTGCACTTTTCCTTTTACAGTAAAATCTGCCTTCTTTCTCTATTTTCCTACGGGTCCTTGAATTCATTTCCCCAGGCGGTGTCAAGAGCCCAGCACCAGCTGGGGTCAGGGTCCCGTCAGCGTTTGGGGACCTCCCCTTGCCCACTGGCATAGAAGAGGAATGCAAATGGCAGTGAGCCCAGGAGAAGGTGCTCAGTGTCCACAGCCCTCAGGGAAGTGCCAATCGCACCCACAAGGGGATGCCTCACCCCACCGGGATGGCTGACCCCAAACACAGTAGGGTGGAGGAGGTGGGGCCTGCGTTCCACACCGATCAGAGAGCAGGAGACAGAAAGTCTGTGGAGTGTGGGGACTGTGCGAGTGTCACCTTTTCCTCACTGTAGAGACGGGCGAGTTTCTCAATGTT